GGCCCTAGAACCGGGAAGCAGACGCTGCTCGGGGCGCTGCGGGAGGGCAGCCGCAGGACACTCCCCCCCTGGCGGGCCGGCCAGCCTGGATGTCTGCTCTCTGAGAGTGTCCACCCCTCAGGACCAGGCGCCTCAGGGAGGGACTGGCCGGACCCTCGGTGCCCAGCCCAGCGCTTCCAGGGCCTCGGGCCTCTGCTCAGACTGTTACTAAGTAACTGATGAGACCCGACCCGGTGGGGGGAGCCGAGGCCCCGGCCGCCCGGCCCGTCTGAGGCTCAGGGGACGGCACAGGCGCAGCCCCGCTCCTGTGTCACACCAGTCTCCCAGCGGCCGCCCGGACCTGAGGGGCACCAGAGCGGGCGGGCGCGGCAGGGCCTGCTGGACCCGTGACCCTCTGGACGTCTGTTCAGCAGGCGAACAAAATTGACTTGCCCATGCAAGAGCTGGGGTGCAGGCCGGAGGTGCGGGGAGTGAGTATCCAACAGGCAGAGCGCCGAGCAGAGCAGGCGGACTGAAACTCTGCTGGGGGGCAGGGGGGACCCGGCTCTGCCGCGCCCGGGGGTCACCCCTGGCGGCTCGCACCCAGGCCGCAGCGGCTGCCCACAGCTGCTTAGTGCTTAGTGCGTTACCCCGTGGCCCCACCAGAGAGGCCCCTGTTTGCCTGTTGAAGGTGGCGGCCGCAAAGCACGCTTTGGGGACCTCCAGGTTTCTGGGGGGCTTGAGTGCTGAGTGGCTCCAGCAGGTGCTTTTTCTGAGGAGGTGACTTGAGGGCACCCGTGGGCTTCCCTGCTAGTGGGGGCTGCTTCCAGGCCTGTCCCGGTCAGCCTGTGTGTGTCCGTTAGGACTTTCCTGGTGCGTGGAGAGTAACAAGCGAAAATGGGGATCCCGGCTCCCCCAAATGGACAGGCCATGACTGCGAGGCTTCAGGCCCTGGGACTCAGTTCCACCCCCAGCCCCCGCCCCCTACGGCTCCGCCCTCTCTCCTGCCCTGTCCTCGCTGGCCTCACCCACCCTCGTGGTCAGCTGAGGCGGGGAGTGCTGCCCCTGAGCCGAGTTGACCAGGGAAGGGCTCTGTTGGCCTGGCCGGCTGGGCTGTGGCCTCAGGTCCCCCGGAAGGGGCTTCCGGCGCACACAGCCACCAGGCCTGCGGTGCCTTAGGGCCAGGACCGCCTCTGTGTCCTCAGAGCCGGACAGCCAGGGCAGAGGGGACTGTTTCTCCGTGACTGGGTCTCCCTGGGGCTGACCGAGCAGGGGCAGGGGAGCCTGGCTCTCAGGCCAGAGGGCGCGGGGGGCCAGGGCCCGGTGCTCCTGCGTCTCCATGCCTCGTGGGTAAACGGGGGGAAGGGTCACCCCGACTGCCGGAGGCGTGGCCCCAGCGCTCCTGCGTCTCTGGGCTACCAAGCAGGCCTGCCTGCGCCCCTGGGGATAGCACCCGCGTGGACACTGTGGCCCCGGTGGTGCTAACAGTCCCTGGTGGCCGGAGACCAGGTTTGCGGCTCCGAGCCGGAGGCTCCACCCACAGAGGGAGGCGGGAGCCGGCCGCCAGCTGGCTTCCGCCCCACGAGAGGGGCGAGAGGGCCGGCAGCGGAGAGAGGGGTG